GAAATTATCCTTAATGCCCTCTTATTTTGAAAAAAACAAAGTAAATAATACAGTAAGGCTCCAGGCTAATTCACTTATGTCATTACAGAGTCAAGGTTGATCCTGAAGCTCGATTTGAAATGACGGACTGAACTTAAGCACTTTCTTAAGTGATTTGCTCTATCGGGGCATACATGTTATGATACACCAAATCATTACAAGACCATATATTAATTTCCACAGGGCTTTCAGGTCTATGAAATTAACACAGCTTTTATGTATAGAGCCCCTTTTTCATTTGATGCAGAGTTTGGAATGTGTGCAGTCAATGTGTCAGGGAACCATGAGAAGAATAGAGACTCACCACCACTTAGGAGACTGAATAACAACCCAGAAAACTGGGTTCTGCCTGTGCAGAATTTGTAAGTGAAGACCAGTAAGTCATTTAGGCCACTTTCCATGAGAAAACAGTGTGTACACTTGTTCCCAAGTACCTTGCTGTGCTGAAATGTGTGCCCCCACTTTGATTATACTAAAATCTCTAAAGATCCTAGCTACACTGAAAATGTTTTGATTTGGGCACTTAGATTTATGGGAGAGTTTTGATCTTAAACTTTCTATACTTCAGCATTTCTGGTCAATAAAATAAGAGAAGTGATATTTCGTCACAAGGATATGGCACTGCAGATTCATAACTCTGTGGAAACAACAGTGACACACTTAATATGTCTATATTCAATAACTGGCTTAGGTAGTGCCATATACTAAAGGATCATTGTGGAAGAAAAAACATGTGAGGAGTACATTACTCTCAATAGATCCAACTTAGAATCTATTCAGATATGTTTTCATGTAATGCCAAGATCTAGTTCCTACACTGACTGTTTTTTTCTAAATATATACAGAGGGACAGGTAATGACTATATGATGGCAACTTCATATAAAAAATATTTTCCCAGACTGGAAATATGATCATAAAGGTGAAGAGATGTTGGTTTGGTGTTGGTTGTATTTTTTGTGTGTGTGTTTTTTTTTTTTTTGTGGTTTTTGTTGTTTTTTTTTGTTGTTGTTTTTTTTTTTGCAAAAGGACTATTTCTAAACCTCACCCTCTTCCTCACCTTTCCTAGAGTCGTAACTTCTTTGCTTTGTGGTTTGGGAAATTCACAGTTTTTGTTTGGACTAGTTTTAAAAAGTAGAATACAAACATGTCACTTAATAATTTTTGGCTGTTGCTGGAAGACTTAGTATCAATTTATAGGGCTGCATTCCAGACTGCAACAAACCCACTTACAGCAGCATGAGTTCTTGATTTTGGAGAGTTTTTCTGTTTCCTTCTGAGTGTGCACAAAGATGAAAGTCCAGGTTAAATACTATACCTTGTTTATAACTTTATTTTAGCCCAAGTTGACATCTCCTTTGTCCTCAGGGCTACCACCCTGCATTTCCTCAAGAGGATGGCATAGAATCATAGAATAGTTAGGGTTGGAAAGGACCTTAAAATCATCAGGTTCCAACCCCCCTGCCATGGGCAGGGACACCTCCCACTAAACCATATCACCCAAGGCTCTGTCCAACCTGGCCTTGAACACTGCCAGGGATGGAGCATTCACAACCTCCCTGGCCAACCTATTCCAGTGCCTCACCACCCTAACAGGAAAGAATTTCCTCCTTGTAACCAATCTAAACTTCCCCTGTTTAAGTTTTAACCCGTTACCCCTTGTCCTATCACTATAGTCCCTAATGAAGAGTCCCTCCCCATCATTTACTGGAAAATACCATTGTCTCAAAAAGGACTTACTGGTATTTCTCCCAAAGTTCCAGAAGTTTTATGTATGGAGGTCTTCCAGGATCAGACAGGTAAAGCTCTCTTAGAAGTGCAAGATGGAACTAGACAATCTCCAAAGGTTCATCCAACCAACTTCTCTATGTGTGAAGTCTGGACGAGGAGGGGTTCTCATAAAAAGGCAAAGGAGATTGTCCGCTTGCATATGAGATTCTATCCCAGTCATTAATTTATTTTTTTCCACATGCTGATGTACAGCAAGGGATGAGCATCTCCCAATTTTCATCTGTGCTCCCTTTCCTGCAATGCACATTTCCATGATTGCACCCAGTCAGGGAGTGCTGTATAATGTTCCATCTCTATGCATTGCGCATGCACGAAGGGCAAATTTGCTGCCTCTGGATTTTTGCATGGGGTGTTGAGATGGGTTAATTATTTGTCAAGAGGGACTTGAGCAATAATAAGTGACTTTATGACCATCTTTACCACTTGGTAGAAAGGTTACATTTAAAAATTGGCTTTACTGTACTGGATTTTAGGTTAAGTTCAAAATGCAGCTTCCACTGTTAGAACTGAAGGGTCATATAAAATTCAGTGCAATAGAATATTTATAAGTATCTGGGATATTTGTAGGAAACACAATAATGGGAGAATCAGAGCTTACAGATAGAGGCGAGAATTGTTAAATGGCAAATAAAAACTCCATTTTTCCAGCACTTAACCCTACATATAATAATAATTATTACAAATCTGAGCAATGATTAAATTTCATTCTAAACTCTAGTTAAATGTATGTGTATGGGAAATTATTTTCGTTCTAATAACTTGCACGCTGTTAGCATTCAGAGGATTGATGTGCATGAACATCACACATCTCAGAATGCTTTCTACATGCCAGCAAGGTGCAGGTATTCTTGGAGGAGGTTTGGAGACTTACATGCCTCAATTCACATATCTGGGGAGGAGCAAAGTCCTGTTTGTTTACAGCTTTTTCTTTCTAATCACATAATTATGTCTTTGAAGGCAGACATCTGACAAAAGCACTGAAAGTGAACAAGGTAAACCTGCAGCAGCTTTTGCTCCTGCTATTATCTCATCACCTGTCTTCAGCAAGATACAAGCAGTGATGTGCAGGGTGTGTGTTTGTGCAAGGCTATCATTTACCTTGGTGGCATGTGCCACCACAATTATCCCCCTGAAATACAAAAGTAAACTGTTGCAGAAACAGAGGGCATTCAAATGGAGGGTAACAGAGCAGACCTAATTAGCTTTAAGTACCTGTAATCCTAGGAGATTTTACGTAATGATAAAAGCCAGTGAAAGTCCCTCAGGTATGAGTAATAAAAGCCCAGCCAGGTTGGTGACATACCAGGTGCTGTATGTCAGCTCAGCTGAATACAGCCTATTGATCCAGAAGTTGCCTGTATTTTCTGCTACAAATTGAATTTAAATTGCTTACATGAAGAAGACATCTGGCAGTTTAAGGTTTACCTGTTTCGTATTTCAAAATAATTTTCTCCACCAGCAAATAAGTAGGAAAGGGTTCTTTTGAAAATAAACCAAGCAAAGCTTTTTAAAAGATGTAGACGTGCCTGTTTGCAATGCCTGAGGTTCAAGCAGACAGTTGATATCTGAGAAATAATTTCTGAATTACTAAAATAATAAAGTAACTAAGTTTGCACAGATTAAGAACCTGCACTGTGTCTTCACTCTTGCTGAATAAAATACCTGACTCACTGGATGAAATAACATAATAGCACTAGCAAAAGGTATAGTCCTCATTTAAATTAAAGACTTCATTTTTTTTGGTGGGGGCTCTTTGTTGGTGTTTTCTTTTTTGTTTGGTAGCTTGTTTTGGGTTTGTGTTTTTTTTTTGGGGGGGGTGTGTGTTTTTTTGTTTGTTTTTTTTTTTTTCCCCAATTCAAGGATATTATGACCAGTTAAGTTCCTAGTTTATGGTTACAATTTTTATTTTGTTTTATAAATGCCAGTGTACCTAACTTGTATTCTAACAAATGCAGATCACGTCCTGGAGGTTGTTGTGCAGAGCAAAATTTTTTTCTGAATATTTTTTTGGGAGAGTTGTCAACCCAGGAGCTTCATATGACCTCTTTCTCCAGCCATCAAAGCTCTGAACCACCTTAATTTGTTTTCCAGCCAAAGAGGCTGTCATTTTGAAAACGCTTGTTCTGATCCCATAGGGTTACACTACAGTTTCCTAAATGCTTGAAATCTTAGCTCTCATGGTAGTTTAAAACACTAAGAAAATATGGGATCTGTTTATTATGGGCCTCTGAATTAAGGGTGCAAATTTAACGCTATGTTCTATATCAACAAATGAATATAACTCACATTAATGTTAGGACAAACTCTGTGTGGATGTGCAAACGATAAAGCCAGTTTAGATATCATGAAAATAGGAGTGGGGGGCAGAAGCACCTTCATAATAACAAGAGGCATATGAGATATCTTTCAAAAATGTTTTTATGTGCCTGCTATGGACTGCTAATACACCAGCCTGTTTGTCTTTCTCATAAGGCACCTTAGCTGCTGTTTGGACAAAATCCATTTGATAATGAAACAAGATGCAGGCTAGACAGCTGCTTTTTTCTCACTCATTTCACTCTGTTATTGGTTAACTTAGTGGAAAAATGTAAATTTTCCAGGGACTTTAGGTTGAAGGTATCCCAGCCAAGGTAGATGTATGCTTGACTTGAGGTCTAATTTAACTCTTGTGTAGTATTGATCGGCTTGGCCCACCAGGGATCTTTAGAGTCTTCCTTTGCCAAAGGTAGACAATGGCATGAAAGTAAAGTGTAATAAATGCCCCGTCCAGTCCCATGTCGATATACAACTGCTTTTTTATTTTCTCCTTTTTTGCTGTTTTGAGTGCATCAGTATTTCACGTTTATTGTAGTGTGATGAAACACCTTTCAAAATGGCCAGAGGGACACTCAGAAGTAAGCATTTAGACAGTACAAATTGGAGTGAACAGGAGGACAGTTAGCAGGGAATAATTCTGAGGTCAAAGCAAGCTGAATAGGAGCTGAATCAGCTAAAAGCAGAGTTGAGCGCGACAGTACCTACTGCAAAGTAAATATAGATTACATTCCTTTAGACAAATTGATCCACTGGAGGATGATAGGTCTTCCAGAAAAAGAGGTTGCTACAAAAGAATTAAGTATTTTACACTGACATATATACAAAGAAACCTTAAACACAGTAGCCAGAGACATATTACCAGGATAGTCCATACTTGGTCCTCACATGAAAAATTTGCAGTGCACTGCAAGATTTAAAGGTCCACAAGTCTTCACATTCCTGTGGATGATGACCAGTATTCTGCCCTGTAAGCAAAGCATAAAGATTTAGCTGCTTAACTGAGCAATAATTTTCACTCAGGCAAGTGGACAAATCATAAAATGGCAGAGTAATTCAGGTGGGAAGGAACGCTAGGAGGTCTCTGGTTAGACCTCCTACCCCAGCAAGGTCAGTTCTGGGGTCTGATTTGGCTGCTCAGGGCTTGAACCACTCGGGTCCCACAAACATTCAAGGGTGAACTCAGTACACTTGGCAAAGGTGAAAGAACATTTTGATCAACAAGTCTGTCCTCAACAGAGGTAACTTGACGAACAACAACCAGAACCTTGGATATGGAACCACAGCAGTTTGTCAAGAACAGCTCTCAAGTTTTCTAAGGAAACTACCAAATTCTTGAAAAAGGTGATAAATGAAATGACTTTGTGAAAGCTCTTCTCTCTCTCCATTGACCCTACAAGTGATCTAATTGATAATTTTTTGGCTCCTGAAAAAATGTGGCCATTGTGTGCTTAATTATTTTTAATCAGTAAAATACCTGGGGAGGAATACACAATCGCATTCACCAATAAACATGCCATTGTCTAACAATTGCAACTGTTTAAACCTGTTTGATCATTTAAAACCAGACTGTATCAGGAGCTCAATGTGAATAAATAAACATGGCTCCACAAAAAAAAACAGATACGTCTTTTCAGCATCACACTACAGAGATACAGGGACCTAAACACACAGAGAACTGTGCAGAATTGTGACCTCAGTAAGTGATAACCTTGCAGGGCAAATAAGAAGAAATATAGTTAAAAAATAGAAATTATTATTTCCAACTTAGGAATGTGACGCACATATTTGTAAAAATATCCTGACACTATTTGCAAATATTTCCCCTCTCTTTCCAAAGCTTATTCTAGACCAACCGAACCCTGAAGGCACTGAGAAGATTTGAATTCAATGCTCTTCTTAAAGCTGAAGATCATGATACATTTCTGCTGGGTCTCTCTGCAAGCACACAGGTGCTTGAAGAGAAAAGCACCCTTTTCTCTGTTCAGTGGCACACCTTTCTTGAGGGACTACCCAAATGTGCACAGCGAATAGCATTATGGAGCTTGATTAAATGGAAACACAGCCACATTTATAGGAGAACTGTACCCAGAATATCTTCTCAGTGCTTTAAAAAAAAAAAAAACAAAAACAGAAACAACAAAGAAAATTAGATTGTTTACGACAAGAGTGTGCAAAGCTACAGGAGTGATGATACCATTGCTGTGACTTGTTTTTCAAATCAGAGTGTACAAGATAGCACATTATATGGCACCAGGATTTCATCAGCACATAGGCAAGTCTAATGGATTTCCACGCTCAGCACTCTTCTGCCAAGAAGCTGACTTTTAATATGGGAAATAGACTCCTGCTCAAGATGGAGTAGTCCTGGAGTAGTCCTGGTCAACCTCAGGGGTCCAAGCATCAGTGCAACCTTTTTGTCAAAGCAGGAGGTGTTTTGGAAGTGTGTCCATGATGGAGTGTAACACTACAGGGGGTGGATTTAGATGGAATCAATAATTTTTATTTGAGCTAAACCTACTTGCACACACAGTAGTGCTGTCTTTTGGCAGTCTTTTTGCAAAACTGGGCTTTATTGTCTGGAATTGGGAGCAGTATTACCAGAAGAGATTAGCTTTATATATAGTTCATATTTTTTTCTTGTTCATGTTGTTTGCTGTCTATGCTTACCTCCTGAGTAACTGAGTATCCCGAGTTTTTGAGGATAGGTAACTTTGTGATTACATTTTTCCAGCCTAAAAGCCATCAGCAAAGTAAATGGGGCTACTCTTGTATCTGTAAGTGCTTAATGCCTGATGTAAGAGTTGCATGATCTAGCTCAGAAGTAACACAGTTACCTCAATTACTGTAGTCCCACAAGGCTATTTACAGCAGTAAATGTTGTAGGCTTGGGCTCTGGTATTATAAACTCCTCAGGGCAGCACGATTGTACACAGGATCTCATCGGTAGTTAACAAACAAGTCTTCTATCAGACACTAGCCATTTTTTGTATTAGGCTCTTAACTTACTTTTATTTATATTTCTACATCCAGAAATGAACACAGTGTTACTAAAGCTACAGCAAAGCACAGTCTCACCGTATCACTTTCCTAAAGCAATGTGCCACAGAAAGACACCATGTGTACTTTTGTGTTTTTTTACATTGTTATCAGGGAAAAATACGTCTTGCAATTTCCCAGGGGGCTCCCTGGGACAGTGTCTCTGTGTGAAAGGGCACCATGGGGCTGCCTCGGACAGTTTTCTTTCAATAAGTTTGGGGTTTTTTTTCCTATTGTAACCACTCTGCTCTGCTGCTTCACTGATTTCCCAGCTGCTCTTCTTCTGCAGTGTCTGAAGTCGAATGCAGAAAATCTGTAGCTGAACAGCTCAGAAATCAGAAGCCGATCATGGCAAGCATGAGAAAACCATGAATACATCTTTCTCTTTAGACATAATGGTTTGATTCTCTGTTGCATGCTGTAAAAATGTGTAAAAATGTGTAAAATGTTTGTATGCACACTTTACAGACAGAAATAATTCTGCAAGGTACCAAATGGGGGATAATAAGACCTTGAGTATCCCACTTCAGAGCTAGCATAAGAACTGCAAAAGGTGCAAGGTTCCAAACACAGAAACTTACTTTATTTTATTGTTACTTATATCCACATGCAAAGCTGTGAGGGTCTCAAAGTTACAGTTTAGGCTAGACCTACGTACAAGGAGTTAACTGTCCCAGGAGCATTGAGCTTTCCCTGACAGTGGACAGCTATCACTGTTACGTGAGCAAATGACAACAGCGAAGGCCTTTCCAATTGTTTATCTTTTTCTATGTAATGCCCCAGAAGGCATTATTTCTTGTGTGACTTTACATGGGGAAAAAAACAAGGAAACTAACAATGTCTTTCCAATGTCAGCTGCTAGTATATCCACAATGTATTTTTGCTCAGTTAAAAAGTACTTTTTTAAAATATATTATAAAAATACATGCATGTAACAAAACAAATTCTGCTGGAATGTGCAATATGTTTTGAAAGTTAAAGTAGAATCATAGACAAAATTGGATTGAAATGATCTAAAAAGGTCATTTTTCCCAAGCACAAGATGGCCTGCTCTTCCTGAGAAGTTTGTCTAGCCCATTATAGTCAATTTTCATTCAAATGATACCAGTAAAACCACAGATTTGATATCAGCAAAATTCTTTGCCAACCTACGGTTCATCGTTATTATTCTGGAAAAGAAGGAGGGGTAGCAAGAGGAACAACATTTGAATAATAAAAGCATAATGTATGACTACTTCCATAATCAATCTTTTTGACTTCTTCATTTGAAATATTTTAAACATAAAATGTCATTCAAATGCATTTGTAAAAAATAATGTAAAAAATATTCATGACTGAAGTATGTGGTGAACAGCTTATTCCACGTGAAACAGGGTTATATTTAATAAAAACCTTTTCAGAAAAATTCATATTTACTTGGTTGAAACTTCTAATTCTTCTTTTTTTTTTAGAAAACAGACTGAAAAATTCAGTGCTTTTTCATGACTTTAATTAAGTGAATCTAGTAAACTGTCTACTTCATCCTCCCTGACAGCAGTATAATAGACAATATACTTCTTAAACAGATGTTATTTAACTTCTACATATTCATATTTTGGTGTATATGATCCATCAAATCTCTCACCAAATTGATTCTATTGAATTTAATTTTTTAATGTCATCTTGATTTTTTGATTATTTTGAACATTATAATTTCCAGGTGTGCTTCTTGTTTTGCCAATATGCTTGCTTTATGCAAGAATACCTATACCCTTTCTTTTTTTTGCATCCCTCATGGTGACAGGTATTGCCTACACTTACCTGTCTGGTTAAAACCTAACTGTTTGATTCAGATGTATTAGAAACCTTCAGAGACAGGTCCTACTGCTGCTTGCTTCAGGAGGTGTGATTGCTAAGGCCTACCCAACAGACCAATGTAGTGTGGCTCAAAGAAATTAGGCAACATCCCTGAAGGTGCCAGTACATAGAACCTGAGCAACACAGCCTTCCTTTTCAGCAACCTACTCCAGCAAGCAAGTTGCTCTTACTACCTTACAAGAACCCAAACCCACCATTTCCATAAAAACCAGTGAAAACAAGGAATCATCATTTCTGAGAAGGTTATAAACACAATTTCAGTATTTCCCAGCATGTACCTAAGCACAACCATTGCTTCTGTCTCCATTTTTATCACTCGAGGCAATGGAAACTGTAGTTTCTATATTTAATGCATTGAAACTGCCTGGTCTCCAAGGTAGCAGGGGTATCTATATACACTAGTAGAATACATTTCAGGCTCAATCACTTTGAAAGCCTGGATAATAGACGAGCACTTGTACTTTGGATAACAAAGTTATTTCCTTTAACATCAACAAGCTGCTCAGCTAGTAACTGCATCAGGCATTGATTTTGTTAGCCTGTTTGTAGGCACTGTAGGGGGCTTTTTAACCGATAAAACTAAAAAATTTACAGATCATTCTTCATGTGCATTATTTCACAGAGCACAGCTGACAGGAGGAGCTACATTAATTTCAGAATTGCTGTTTTGAATGTCAGTGGAACATCTGTAGAACCAGCCCTGGATCTGTCAACTGCAACCTCCCCATTTTAAGATAGATTGAAGCCTGAACTTAGATATCCAGCCAAATTTTATACCTGGTTCTTATTGGGACTGTAAATGTGCATTCACTTCTCAGATTTGCATCTTAGATCCTGTACTAATCGCTTGAACATGCAACTTGATTCATATGTGGGTTTCTTTCAGCTATATACTCAGGTCTATGTATTTCAATGGGCCAAATATCTGCTTATTTACTTATTTGCCATTACCAAGTGCTAAATTGAAAGTACCGTAAGCTACTACTTATATATTCCCGGTCATCTTTTTCTTATAAGAAATGCTTGATCTACATTTTTTCCTTATTTCGCATACTCTCTCTGAATAGCAGCA